CGGTTGCGGTTCGTCCCTGGCCCTCGTTGGGTCATACAGGAGGCAACCAGTCGATGTGGCTCTGTCACATCAATGTTTCTCTCTCTCTCTCTCCCTCACTCCCACTCTATCTGATGATAAACAGAAAAATATCCTCAGGTGAGGAATTTAAAAAAAAAAGACATTAAAGAACTCTCTTGACCAGGATTTCTCAGCTCAGTACCACTGACACTTGCAGCTGAGTGATGCTTTCGGGGGTAATTGGGGGGGGCTGTCCTGTGCATCATGGGGTATTTAGCAGCATTCCTGCCTCTACTCACTAGATGCCAGTTGTGACAACCCAACATGCCAAATGTCCCCTGGGGGGGCAAAACTGCCCCTGGTTGAGGAGCACTGTCCCAGCCAACAGATTAGCTGCACCAGATACACGTTCTCCCATGATACGTGCAAGCCGTCGCTGCATCGGATGCACGTTCTCCCGTGATACGTGCAAGCCATCGCTGCACCAGATGCACGTTCTCCCGTGATACGTGCAAGCCATCGCTGCACCAGATGCACGTTCTCCCGTGATACGTGCAAGCCGTCACTGCACCAGATGCACGTTCTCCCGTGATACGTGCAAGCCATCGCTGCATCGGATGCACGTTCTCCCATGATACGTGCAAGCCGTCGCTGCATCGGATGCACGTTCTCCCGTGATACGTGCAAGCCGTCGCTGCACCAGATGCACGTTCTCCCATGATACGTGCAAGCCATCGCTGCATCGGATGCACGTTCTCCCATGATACGTGCAAGCCGTCACTGCACCAGATGCACGTTCTCCCGTGATACGTGCAAGCCATCGCTGCATCGGATGCACGTTCTCCCATGATACGTGCAAGCCGTCGCTGCACCGGATGCACGTTCTCCCGTGATACGTGCAAGCCATCGCTGCATCGGATGCACGTTCTCCCGTGATACGTGCAAGCCGTCGCTGCACCAGATGCACGTTCTCCCGTGATACGTGCAAGCCATCGCTGCATCGGATGCACGTTCTCCCATGATACGTGCAAGCCATCGCTGCATCGGATGCACGTTCTCCCATGATACGTGCAAGCCGTCGCTGCATCGGATGCACGTTCTCCCGTGATACGTGCAAGCCATCGCTGCACCGGATGCACGTTCTCCCGTGATACGTGCAAGCCATCGCTGCACCGGATGCACGTTCTCCCGTGATACGTGCAAGCCATCGCTGCACCGGATGCATGTGCAAGCCATCGCTGCATCGGATGCACGTTCTCCCATGATACGTGCAAGCCGTCGCTGCACCGGATGCACGTTCTCCCGTGATACGTGCAAGCCATCGCTGCACCGGATGCATGTGCAAGCCATCGCTGTATCGGATGCACGTTCTCCCATGATACGTGCAAGCCATCGCTGCACCGGATGCACGTTCTCCCGTGATACGTGCAAGCCGTCGCTGCACCGGATGCACGTTCTCCCATGATACGTGCAAGCCGTCGCTGCATCGGATGCACGTTCTCCCATGATACGTGCAAGCCATCGCTGCACCGGATGCACGTTCTCCCATGATACGTGCAAGCCGTCGCTGCACCAGATACACGTTCTCCCATGATACGTGCAAGCCGTCGCTGCACCGGATGCACGTTCTCCCATGATACGTGCAAGCCGTCGCTGCATCGGATGCACGTTCTCCCGTGATACGTGCAAGCCGTCGCTGCACCAGATACACGTTCTCCCGTGATACGTGCAAGCCGTCGCTGCATCGGATGCACGTTCTCCCGTGATACGTGCAAGCCGTCGCTGCACCGGATGCACGTTCTCCCGTGATACGTGCAAGCCGTCGCTGCGGCCTGGGCTCTACCTCCTGCCCCTAGCTTGGGAAGAGTCTATGAAAATCCACACCGAGTCTCCAGTGCCACCAAAATGTCCCGACTTTGAGTCCCAGCTGTCAACACATCCTGCTCTGACTTCTCTCTCTGTCTCTGGTGACCTGCCAGGGGTTCCTTTCTGCAACTAGCTCATATTCATGGTCAATTTTAGAAAAGCAAATGATATGCTCAGATTTTAAAACACACACAAATAACTTTTAGAATCTTTTTTATTGCCCCCCCCCCCCAACTACTTTATAGGTCAAAAGTAAAACTATTTCAGCCCTGGCCAGGTGGCTGGGTTGGTTAGAGCATCGTCCCATACACCACCGAAAGGCCGCAGGTTTGATTCCCTGTCTGGGTTGATTCTCCATCTGGGCACATGCCTGGGCTGTGTATTCGATCCCCAGCTGGGGCTCACACAGGAGGCAACTGATAGATGTCTGTCTGTCTCTCTCTCTCTCCCCTTCCTCTCTCTAAACATAACCTCAGATGAGGATTGGAAAAAAAGTAAAACTATTTTAGATCCCCACAGTTCAGCGGACACAATAACACACTGATGACAGCTGTAAAGAAGTCACACCTTAAGGTTTGTGTTTTAACGCTCCCAAATTCATTCTTACAGGTCCTGAGGACAAATACACTCTGTTCTTGTTTCTTTGTTTCCCTCTGTGTTTTTGTCTTTGGCTACGTAAATCTTATAGTGGCTTTTGGCCTAAAAGAGTAAACCAGCCCTGGCCGGTTTGGCTCAGCGGTTAAAGCATCGGCCTGCAGTACAGAGAGACCCGGGTTCGGTTCCCGCTGAGGGCACGTACCTCGGCTGCAGTTTGTCCCCGGCCCTGGTTGGTCGTGCGGGTGGCAGCCACTCGATGTGTCCCTTCACGTCGATGTTTCTCTCTCTCTCTTCCTCTCTCTCCCTCCCGCTCTATCTGAACAAAAAATGGAAAAATGTCCTCGGGTGAGGATAAAAAAAAAAAAAAAAAAAAAAGAGTAAACCAGAACAGGACCCCAAATGCCTGAAGGGGCATCAAGACAGCCCAGAGCAGGAAACTTTCTGTGCCCCCTAAAAGAATTTAGAAAAACTAGGTACCCTCATCTAGTACCTTTTTGAAACCTACGTTCAAACGGCTTTCTTCTAAGTTTATGGAGGTGCAAAAGACATCATTTCTAGCATACAAATACTGATGTGTTTAAGCACAACTGTCGGATCAGTCATTCCTACGGACCTAAACAGCACGGGAATTTGCCTCCCCGTTACCCACCTAAAAGTTCCTACAAAGTAAGCTGCGCGTTTCTGCTTCATGTTCTTTTCTGTCCGGGGGTTCTAGTCCACACACGACGAAACGCACAGCTGAGCTCTTCTTCAAACGTCAAAACAAAAGTCCACTGTTCCGACTTGAATTCCATTACATTTCCCCCCAGACTTTTATCCTAGAGCAACTCCCATTTAGGCCAGAAAGTCTCTTATTGATTTCTTTATCAAACTTCTCTTCGATGTGTTTATATACCTTTCCATTCCGTGTTTGAAAGTTTCCTGTGAAGCTAGAACTCTAACTGCTTAAATAACTATTTCCTGGATTGAGTTACCATTACAACTGCTAGCAATCAGAATCGATTCGTAACAACAAAAAATATAATACATGATTTATAATTATTAAACATTAAAAAGTAAAATATTCTTGGAAATGAAAAATTTCACAAATGAGGCTTTTTCCGTTTTTGTCCATTCGAATCTACGTGGATAAATGTTAGGTAGTCATTGCTATAAAAAGACAGGCATCAATTTATTTCTATTTTCCTTTTCTTTTTTTTTTTTTTTAATCAGAAGATGGGAAAAAGTAGATACTTTGTTATAATATTGTCATTTTGTTCTTTGAACTCTTTCCAAGTTACAGGCCCCAAATCTCATTGTGGTCCATCACAGAAAATTACTTTTAAGGATCTCTCTGCTAACAATTAGATTAGATTCATCAAAGGACAGGACAGTGGCTGACCTGCCCAAGGCGTTGTGCCCAGTCAGCGATCGGCATCCTGCACCTTCTCCACACCAACACCAGCACGCCAGGCCCTCTGCCCACGCATGCTGGCTGCCGAGACGAGGAAATACGGCGAGAACGCATCTTTCTTTGGTGAAATGGGAGGGGTCTGCTGAGCAGGGGAGCCTGGGACAGGAGCGCCCGCTGCCGGGGCGTCTCGGGCCCAGCAGCTCTGGGAACGAGGACACACGGAAGCCGAGGCCCCGCGGACGGACTCTGCTAACACTCTAGAGCGCCTGTGTAACACAAGGCGCGGGTCCCGTCTCAACGCTGCGGCCTCCGGTCTGAGGCTGCTGACCTGGAGGACCTCTGGGAGGTCCCACCCCAGGCTGGTTTTTGCAGATCAGAGGACTATTATTAAAACAGGAGAAAGAACTAAATCCAGATCAAACCAAAGGGAAAACCACATGTTACACGCCTTTCGATGTGACACCGGCTGGGATACACAGCACCAGTATGACATGTCCTTGCCCGGAGACCCATCTGAGTCCACCCAGCCCCCAGGTCTCACTCTGGGCTTACGGGACATGTGGCCGGGGTGTTGGATCACAGGGAGGAATTACTGCCAATGCCACAGCAACTGTGGTTAAAGAAAAACAAGGCGTCCCGGGTGTACTGAATTCACAGGTGACGTTACGTGTCTGGGATTGGCTTTTACAAACTACTCCCACCTCCCAAGAAAGCGGGGGAACACGGATGAAATGAGATTAGCAAAATGTCAATGACGACTGAAGCTGGATGGCGGGTCCCTGGGGTGCCTCACAGAATTCTCTCCACTTTTTCACAGGTTTGAAAATGTCATAGGAAAAGGTCTTTTTCTTAGAGGAGGAAAGAGAAATTTAATTAGTGCCAGCAAAGCCTTGGGCTCGGCACTTCCTAAATATTATCTCGTTTTACAAGGCCTCGAGCTGCCCAGCCTCGTTGGGCGTCTAAAGAGAGGCGGGGCATTAAATACACTGGGAATAAAGAGGCTGGTGATGAGAGGGAGCCCTTGGCACCTGGAGATCAGAGATGCATCCCGGTCACACAGGGAGAGACCGGAAGGCCCCTTCAGCAGAGAAATGTCAGAACAGACGTGTCTCGACGGACACCCCTCCGATAACATGCTACTTACCCCTGCGGCGAAGCCAAGGCTTCCGTCTAAGATCCGCCTCTGAAAATGAAAACAGATATTTCAGTTTCTGAAGGAGATTTCCTGGGAAGAAAGAGAACCAGACCCCCAAGAGAGCCACGTGACTGAAGACGGGCCCCCGCGAGAGCCACGTGACTGAAGACGGGCCCCCGCGAGTTCTCAAACTTGCCTGGAAGCCTAGATCCGAGCCTTGATAAAATGGGCCTAAAATGGAGGGGGGGGTTCTTTTTAACCTTCGATCCCCCCCACAGCCCATCAGTCTCCCCTCAGTGGGGTGCGCGGCTTGCACTGGTCCACGTGTGGCCTCTTACTGTCTCTGTGAATGACGACTGCGAACCTTTAGTAAGCAGCTGGCCTACAAGGTGGACGTGGACAAGTGCTGGCAGGGAGCATGCAGACCGACCGGAACCGTCCCAGGCTGCCAGCGGGGGTACGAACGGGCACAGCCGCGGGGAGTGGCCGCAGGCTGAGTGATCACCCGGCAGGAACGCACACATGAGGTCACCAAGCCCGGGCACAGAGAGGCTCCTCACAGCCCTGTTTACAAGAGCCCCCGACTGTAAATCCCCAAAGGGCTCTGTCAGTCAGGATGGACTCGGACAACGGAACACCATACGGCAACGAGCACACACAAAGCACAATGAACGGAGCGCACAGCCAGGCAGGGGCAGCCGGGACACTGGAAAAGAAACCGGGAGACATCAGCCTGGCACAGATGCGCATCGGCTACATGATTACTCCATTTACATAATGTATAAAGACAGAGAGCACGACTCTGCCGTTGGAGACCAGGAGAGGGATCACCTTACTTTGGAGGTTGGGGTGTGGGTGGTGACTAAAAGGGAACCTAAGTCCTGGCAGGTTTTCTCAGTGGTTAGAGCGTCGGCCCAAAGACCGAAGGGTCTCAGGCTCGCTTCCAGGTCAAGGACACGTACCTGGGTTGCAGGTTCAATCCCTGGCCCCCGTTGGGGTCGTGCAGGAGGCAACCAATCAATGTGTCTCACATGGGTTTCTCTCTCTCTCTCTCTCCCTCCCTCCCTCCCTTCTACTCTATCTAAAAACCAATGAAAAAATATCCCCAGGTGAGGATTAACAAAAGGAAGGAAAAGAAAAGAAAAACTAAAAGAGAGCCTCAAAGGGCTGCTGGGGGTGGGGGTGGTACTGTCCTAGTGCTTGATCTGGGTCCTATTTTCATGGGCATTTGTGAAAAATTACCAAGCTGTACACTTAAGAAATGTGTACTTTTCTATATGCATCTTATAGTTCCGTCAAGTAAGAAGTGGCCTAAATTAGGGGTATGCTCTACAGCCATGTGAACACGTTGCAGGCATATTGAGACCCCCGCGGAGGTCTGGGTAGCTAGAGCCACCGGTCAGTCATCCAGCCACAGCAGCCTTCTCCCCGCCCTGAGTGGACATGGGCTGGATGGAAGGCTTTGCCCCAGGGAGCCATGCGAACGCCCTCCTTCTCTGGGCACCCCATGACATAAGCCAGGTTAACCTCACCAACTGATTTAATCAAGCCGGACAAGTCTAAGAAAGAAGTCAGGTAAAAGCATCCTATCAGCTTGTATCTGGACCTTCAAAGGAGAAACATTACACTTTCTTTAAAGGTCCATACACCTGTTATTCTGCTTTTAGACATTTATTTCAAGGAACTAATCGGATACGTGCTCAAAGATGTGTGTTCATCATAACACTATTTCTATAAGCCACAAAACAGGACATCACCTAAGAGTCCAGCAGTTGGGGATTGGATAAAGTTCAGTGCATCTTTATGACGGGATACTATATACCATTTAAGTAATCAAAGTGGTCAAAAAACCATTGAGGGGTATGAGGGATGCTTAGGCTATCAAGTGAGAAACGCTAGTTCTAAAGCATTACATACAATTTGATCCCTATCATGTAAAGAACATAGACATGTGTTTACACACTCGTGCCTACTCAAACACACCTGAACAAACTTGAACAAATGTCTTTTTCCTTCTGAGAAGTAGGGTCAGAAACATTTTAAATGATTTCTTTAAGCTCTTCCATATTTGACAAGTTGCCCAGACTCAAAATAGGATTTTTTTTGAAGTCAGAAAAACAAATTCCGAGTGGAGCTACACCCACGTCGACGAGAGAGGGCAGATGTCCGAGGGTCTCCCATTTCAAGTGCCTGTCACTGCAGCCCCCACCTCAGCTGCGTGAAAACTGAGGTCTGCTCAGGGGGACAGAGCACACCTCTGTGGACTCGCACCTACTGGCCGCCCGGGCCCTGCCCCCCCACCCCCCACGAACACCTCCTGTGCAGAAAGGGTTAGCACAGCCCACCTGAACCTTTTCTCCTGAGAAGGTGCTGCTTTCAAGGCAGGTCCTTGGCTGGACTCTGGGAACTCGGGGCTGAAACTGTTCCCCCCATTCCTTAACTGATGGGGGGTCCCTGTGCCTGCTTTGACCGCACGTGAGGGATGGATGCGGGACACCCCCTTTCCTTGCGAGTCTGAAACGTTAGTAGGAGCCGTGGCCGGGCCCAGGAAGAAGCTGGGTCTGATGGGCGTGCCTGGCAGACTCATCTAAATGGGGCTGGAGAAGGGGCGCTCCGTGCCCACGGCGGGCGGGGCGGAAGCCTGTGCAGGCATCCCCCCGACTCTGCCCGGGCCTTCCCCTCACGAAGCCTGGGTGTGTCCCCGCACAGTAACAGCTCAGCCACGGGACAAATACGTGCTGGGTCCTCCTAGCGAGTCAGCGGTTGTGAGGGCGATCCTGGGGACCCCCATAGGTCCCCACACAGTGGGAGGTCTCAGCAATTCCTCCTCCTGACCTGGGTGGGTACCCAAACACAAGACAAAGTAGGGTCTCTGCAGCTCCAAAGGGAAAGGGGGCCCCTCTGGGATGGCACCCCACTTCTGAAGAGCCCCCCAGTATTGGCCAGGGCCCCACGGGGCCATGAGGCTCTATTCATCCCAGCGCTGCATGTAACTCAGACCCCGATGGCCAGCGAGACCCCAGCCAGCGCCACGCATGTCTTCCCCGGTCAAGGTGACGGCACGGGCTGCTGGGCCCCACAGGCCCTGGAACAGGCCCGGGGAACCCCTGTGGCTGTCTCAAAGAGGAGGGTCAGGAAAGCTGGCGCCCTCCCCGGTGGTCCTGAGCAGCTCTCATCCGGGCACTGGCGTTTGAATGTTTCCACTACCAGAAGACAGTCACCCGGGAGCCAGGGTTGTGGGACTCGGTCCCAGGTCCGTGACAGCCGCGAACCTCCCGGAGGAGCAGGAGAGCGCAGCAGGGGAGGTCCGATCTTATCGCTGACATCAGTACCTGCTGAACTGGTCTCCAACACGGCCCGGACTCCCTTGCCAGCTTCCCAGACATGTCTGAGTTCCCAGACCCGCCTCACAGCGTGTCTAACTAGATCTGAAATCACTGACTGGCTCAGCACCCCTACGATTTCTAAGGCTGCTCATCGTCCACGGATCGCTCTGGGCCTGGGGGTGGAGGGGCTAAGGGGTGGAGAAGAGCAAGGGGGTCAGGCGGGAGGCGGTGCGGCCGTGGAGGAGGGGGTGGGGTATGTGGAGCGGGCAGGGGGAGAGTGTGGGGTGTGGGTGAGGGTGGAGTAGGGTTATGTGTGGAGAGTGGGAGTGTAAGAGGGATGTAGAAATAGGGGGGACACAGGGGTGCACGGGTGTGGAGGAGCGCAAAAATAAATAAAGGTGGCCCTGGCCGGTTGGGCGCAGCGGTTAGAGCGTCTGCCCAAGGACCAATGAGTCCTGGGTTCAATTCCAGTCAAAGGCATGTACCTCAGTTGCAGGTTCGTCCCCAGCCCTGGTTGGGGTCGCACGGGGGACAACCCATCGATGTGCCCCTCTCATGTGGATATTTCTCTCTCCCTCCCACTCCCTCCCTCCTACTCTATCTGAAGATAAACAGAAAAATATCCTTGGGTAAGGATTAAAAAAAACAGAATAAGTAAAGGTGGGTGGGGGTGAGGTGGGCAGGGGATCTGTAGGCCCATGGTGGGGTGCTGTAGGCCCATGGTGGGGTGCGTCTGAGTGTATTTATCCCAAAGGGAGTGGGCGAGGGAATGAGGAGCCCTGGATTTGGCATAAAAGACAGACCTTTTCCCCAAGGTCTCTCCAATCACCCCAGCAAATTCGAGGCCGAAGGGCAGGGCAGTTACACCCCAAACCCGTCGTTCCTCTTCAGTGTACACACCACCACCTGTCCAAGGCCTGAGAGACACTGGATGGAGGACAGGAATGGGGCAGGGGGCTTCTCACTCCCCTGGAATCAGACGGGGAGAAGCAAGTCATGCAGGGTCTGTAGACACCTGCGCTCCAGCCCGGCAGGAGGTGGCCCGTGGCAGTCCGGCGTCTGCCGCCCGTCTGCCGCCCTGCCAGGAGTTCCCACCGACACCCAGAACCGAATCAAGGCAACTCACCTGCCCACTGGAGAAGATGAACACGAGAGCCGCCCCAGCTGCCGTCATCCCCCAGGTGAAGAAGGTCCCCAGCAAGGCCTGGAACACAGTGCTGTGGCCTTGGAGCATGCTGGATACGACTGTGTGCAAAGGAGCAGAGGGGTCAGTGCCCGCAGTCCCCTCGGGGACGCCCGTGTGTCCTGACCCCTCCCCCGAGCTGGCTGGGTCTGGGTTGGTGTCTGCACCTTCCCACCTTGCCAGCCCTCGGCGAAACCCTCCAACTCTGGAAGGAGAGTCGTGGGGACACCTGCCTGAGAAGATGCCAGAGGAGAAGACCCCAGGAAAGAGGTTACAACACTGGGAAATAGTTCCCAAGAGAAGAAGCTCAGAGAACGCGGACCCTTTAGCCCGGGAAGAGAGGGCGATCGCGGCTTCCTGCCCGTTCCAGCCCATGCCACTCACCGGTTCTCCCTTCTCCAAATACAGGTGACCAGCTCAGGTTCCCTCTTGAAACTCATCTACCTAAGTCCTGATCCAACCTTCAAAAGCTCCCCATGCATCGACCCATGCACCAAGAGGTTGCCGGTTCGATTCCCAGTCGGGGCAGGTGCCCGGGTTGTGGGCCAAATCCCCAATGGGGGGCATGCAGGAGGCGGCCAATCGATGTTCTCTCTCACTGATGTTTCTATTTCTCTCTCCCTCTCCCTTCCTCCCTAAAATCAATAGAGGAAAAAAAAACTTAAAAAAATCTCCCCAGGGAAGCTCCCCGGGCCTGCCAAGGGCACACTCCATCGAGTAACCTTCAACCAGCCCACTGACAATTCAAGCCTGTGCCTCTAGTGCCACTCTGCCCTGCGTGGGCACCAGCTCAACCGAATTATTGATGGCACCTGGGACAGCCCCACACGGTCCTGTTCCAAGCCTCTCTGCACAGGGTTCCTCCCCAGAATGCCTTCTTTCCCAGCCTCCAGCCATCACATCCTCTGTGCTGCCCACCAAATGCCAACCCTGAGTCCCTGCTCTCCGAGCCCTCCCACACCACCCCTCCGCACACACTTGCCCCCTTCACCGTGCACACCCTCAGCTGCTTAAGAACAGGAACGCTTCACATTTGGCCTGTGCACAGGGTTCTCTGGCACCCCCACCCCAAAAAAACAAAACAAAACAAAAAAACGCTTGCTGAATTACTTATGGCACCTTGGACAAGCTTACCTTGAAGGACACTCAGCGAGGACAAGGAGCCATAAGTGACATGTGCCCCAGTCAACCGCTGAAGCCGAAGTTACGCGCTGCCCACCGCAGAAGGGAAGGGAAGGCCCAGCCCCTCTTGTTTGTGCCCAGGGAGCCTCCTCCAGACCTGAGTGTTTTACATCCCAGCTCTCACAGGAGAGGCATCGGACTGTCGCTGTGGAAAGTTACCGGGCGGACAGAGCCAGGTGTTGAAAAGCCAGTGTTCTAGTACACACACGTGGGGGCCCAGCGCCTCCTCCTCTGAAAGGGCTCATTCAGCTCCTCACCCGTCTTTCAGCTCCCACAGGGCTGGACGCGGCCCCGCTGGGCTCAGCCCGCCAGGTCCCAACCACCCTGGGCTGAAGACACTGCCTCTCTATTGGCCTGGAAGGGAACCGTGACCGAGGGTGTAAGGGGCCCTTCAGCCACGGGGCTCGGCAGCGTAACCAGGATTCAAACCTAGGAAGGCTGAGGGCCAGGTGAGCCCAGGTTCTGCCTCGGTGCCAGGAAACCTCTAAGACAGACACCTCTAGATTCAGACTGTGACCCACAGTCTACATGGAACTCAGGATGGCAGCAGCACCAAACAGAGGGGAAAACTCATCACTACAAAACGCACCTTTTACACACATCATCTCCTAAGCCACCCTAGAAAGAGTGGTTTGTGTTTGTTTCTTTGTTTTATCCTCACCCGAGGACATTTTTCCATTTTTGTTCAGATAGGGTGGGAGGGAGAGAAAGAAACATCGACGTGAAAGGGACACATCGAGGGGCTGCCTCCCGCACAACCCGGACCAGGGCCGGGGAAGAATCGAAACCAAGGTATGCGCCCTTGACTGGAATTGAACCCGAGACTCAATGGTCACCGGGCCAACACTCTAACGGCTGAGCCAAACTGGCCAGGGCTTGTGTTTGTTTTTAAAATCAGTCATGTGGGAAATGACACCCGCCTTCTACTTCTAGCTGTTTGTGGATAGGGTTTCAAACAGCATTTACAAAGAAAGGCACCGGCTAGCCTCCTCTTAGTAGTTATCACCAAGACAGGTTATTAAAACAAACAAACTTTCATCCCCAGGAGGACATTTTTGCATTTATCTTCAGACAGAACAGAATGGGAGAGAGAGAGGGAGAGAGAAACATCTATGTGAGAGAGACACATCGATTGGTTACCACCTGCAGGATCCCATTCAGGGCCAGGGATGAACGGCAACCGAGGTACGTGCCCTTAGCGGGAACCGAACCTGGGACTCTCTGGTCCATGGGCCAACGCTCTAACCGCTGAGCCAAACTGGCCAGGACGGGTGTGCCTTTTAACAGCTACAGAAAGAGGAAACCGTTTGCATTTGCCAAAAGGCCAAAGTCAAAGTGGGTTTGGTTTGGGGAGCTCGTGTGTGTTCCCAGGGGCTGGTCAGAGGGGAGCACTCTGCTGAGCCTGTCCACTTCCAGCTGAGCACGCTGAGGCATAAGAAAAAGGGACCTGCAGGGAAAACCAAGGCCGCATCCTCCCCACCCCACAGTCACAGCATTTATCATTGGCCACGCAAGCCCAGCACCTCTCGGGGAAGTTTCTCCCCTTTGCTGTCTTGAAAAGGGTGGTCGGAGAATCAGCAGTGCTGGTCCCCCTTGGAAATGCAGACTCTCAGGCCTCGCCCCAGACTTGCTGAATCCGAATCTGCACTGTATGGAGTCCCCTGGGGGATTCTCATGCACAATAACGTGGAAAGTACTAGTCTGAGACTAGAACCACCTCTACAAGACCTAGAGTTTAGAAGGTGATTCTCTTGTCCTGGCCAGTTTAGCTCTGTGGTTAGCACGTCGGACCTCGGACCAAGGAGTCATGGGTTCGATTCCGGTCAAGGGCACGTACCTGGTTGCAGTTCAGCCCCCGGTCCTGGTTGGGGTCACCAGGGCTGTGCCGGAGGCGACCGATCAATATGTGTGAGTGTGTCTCTCCCTCCCTCCCACTCTATCTAAGGATAAACGGAAAACAGAAAGTGATTCCCCCGCCCTGGGAGGGGCTGACAAAGCCAACGCAGAGCCCATGAGAACAAAGCATTGTCTGCAGTGGGCAGACCAGTAGCACTGTGCAGACAGGGCGTGTGAGCCCCGGCACCTCAAAAGCAGCTTCCGCAGTGGGGCCCAGACTTCCTCAGCAGCTGGAATGTTAATACATAAACCTTGGCTAGAGTGCAGGGGGCGGGTGTGCTCTGCCCACCCCAACTATAAGATGCCAGCAGCACCCCACAGGTGGGCACTGGCCTCGCAGCACCTGGGCGCTCCTGATTGCTCCAGGTTTCCCCTTTCTCTCCCTTCTCAACCTGTTGGCTGCCCTGCTTCCAAGAACCAGCTGCAAGACATTGGTGAGGATCAGAGGGGGAAACAGCTCTCAGTGGAAGTGCACACACAGGCCCTGCCTCCCGGGGTGGGGGAGCCACAAAAAGGATTCGGGTTTGGGCTGGTGGGTCTGTGGGAAAGTTCTCCAAGACCTGCTGCTCCAAGTGTGGTCCGCAGACCAGCCGGCCGGGACTGACTGGAAACGCACAGTCTCAGGCCTGCTGCACCTTCCCAGGCTCCCGGTCAAGTTCAAGAGGTCCTGCTGAGCCCCAGAGCCAGTGGGAGGGGCACAGGGCAGCTGGAACCGCAGCCACCCCCGCTCCCAGGGCTGCAGGGGCCCCACACGCCCACCGTGGAGCGCTGGGTGCACAGGATCTTGGAGAACCACAGTCAGAGGGAGGCAGGTCGACTCCCTCCTGCTCGCCTAGGGGAGGCGTTGGCTGGGGGGGGCCCCTTCTCCCTCCTCCGCCACCTGCCAAAGCCGCCCTGCCTCCCCTCCCACCCCCTCTCCCCAGGGCACTCCCTTCCAAACTCCACGGGGCCCTTCCCAGTCCCACACGCGTGTCCTGATGGCCCCGGCCCCCGGGCCTCCAGCCCAACCGAAGGCGCCGAAGGAGAGAAAAGCCGACTCACTACGGTGCCCTCTCCAGCCCCCACTCCACTTCCATCGGCCCCGCTCGCTGGCTCGCCGGCAGCGTCCCGGAGTCACTTCCTGCTTCCCTCCCGCACACGTGTCCCTCCAGCCCCAGGCCCCGCCCGCCCGCTGTGACGGGCAGAGCCCGCTGGAAGGATAAATTCTCTGGTTCACAGGTCTCTGCAGGCTCCGGCACGGATGGGGCGGGAGGACAGAGCCCTGAGCCCCAGCGAGAGAACAGGCTGCACGTTTAACCCTCTGCAGTCCTCTCTGAAGCCACAGACACCCAAGGAAGACTTGTAGCGTCCCTGAGATCACTTATGTCACAGCTGGGTCCCCTGCCCCAGGGAGCAGAGCAAATGTGTTTGAGAGGGTCTGGGGGTGGCAGGGGGCGGGGAGGGATGAGGGGGGAGGCTGGAATCTTCTCTAGGTAATTGGCCCCCAAACCACAGCCCCCGACAGAGTCACCAGGAGCGATGTCTGGACACAGGAAGCTAGCGCCCTCAGAGGCTCTGGCTGTGCAAGTCTGCGCGGCCCGAGATGTTCTGTGCTGAACCAAGCATTGCCGGGATCACTCAGAACCAGCGCCCCAGGTCACAGCTCTGCTCTCCCAGCCTTCTGTAAAAAGACCAGAGGGTACGATCGCTAGATTCTGCCAAACATTGAAACGGGATGCTGGGTTAAATTTGCATTTCAGATCAACAACAAACAATGTTTCAGTGTAAGTGTGTCCTGTGCAATATCTGGGACATACTATGCTAAAAACGTATTTCATATCTGTTGTTTATCAGAAATTCAGGTTTAACTTGGCTTCCTGTGTTTGATCGGATGGCCCTACCGAGGGTAATGTGGGCAGAAAAACAGCCGGTGATCCCAATGGCCTGACCAGAAGGTCCGATAGGAGCGGGCCCCTTTGGTCAGCAGAAGTCAGTCGTTCACACTGATGATGGCACCACAACCACGCACCGCGTCACGAAGGTGGCATGGGGGCCACAGGTGGTCTCTGGTCTCGGGAGACTGGCAGACCGGGGAAGCAGCCAGAACGCCTGTCTTGGTCAGCGGTTCTGCCGGAAGAAATGTTTCTGTTGTGTAAGTGACCCAGTCTGGTATTTTGTTACAGTGGCATGAACAGACGACACCCCATTTTACAGGTAAGGAAACTGAGGCCCAGGAAGGCTCTGGAGTGACCCCAGGTCACAGGGCAGTGTGGGAAACCACACCCAGTGGACTCCAGAGATGGTGTTGGGACACTCAGGACTCACAGTAGGGGACTCGACACCCTGGTCAGCAGAACCTCTCACTTCCCTTAAACCACACTAGTCCCTAAAGCGGGGTGACCGATGCCCAAGAGACAGATGGAACCATTGCCCATCTTTTCCAGTGAACCCCCCACACACACACACACCCACACCCCCCCCAACCCAAACATGCAAACTGCCTTTGTCTTTCTCACATTCCCTGATGGTAAGAAGTCCCAGAGTGTTGACCAGAAGAAAATGTAGTTTCCTTAAGGCTGAATGCGCCGGCTCTCCCCTCCAGCCCCCCCAGCCCAGCCCATTCTGTCCCCCAAGTACAGAAGAGAAGGTAGGGAGTGGTCCCTCAACTGCCTCTAGTGGAAAAGAGGAGCAGACCTAAGGCCCCAGGTGGAGCTGGGTGACAAGACCAGGGCTGGGAAGTGTGGTTGCTGTGTGAGGTCCTCTGAGAAGCCCTGGGAAGTGCACTGGGTGGTGGCCCCCAAAACACATGCTCCAATGCCCACCCGATTGCTGTACGTGCGACCTCATCTGGGGAAAGGGTCTTTACCGACGTAATCCAAGATCTCGGGAGGAGCTCACCCTGGTCTGACCAGGAGGGTTCTGCATGCTACGACACGGACAGAAGGCCAAGGGGGGACGGGGCAGAGAAGGAAGGGACGGGCCACAAGCCGAGGACTGTCTGGAGCCCCCGGAAGCTGGAAGAGACAGGGACGGATTCCCCCCTCGAGCCTCCATGGGGAGCGTGGCCCTGCCGACACCTTGGTTTGGGATGCAGAAGCTTCTGGTGAACTGGGAGAGAATCCATTTCTGTTGTTACGTGGAGAGAGTTCTTTTGTGTCCTTAATCTGAGAGAGGGCGAGCCACCTCTCTGTGCTAACGGGGACGATCTCCACCGAACAGGGAGGCCGCCGAGCTTCCCAGCTCAGCTCCCATGGGTTAGATTCAGCTTGTGGGTACAACGGCGTCCCCACAAAATCCACGTTAGAGTCCGAATGCCCAGTACCTCAGAAGGTGACCTTATTTGAAGACAGAGTCTTTACAGAGGTGGCCAAGTGAAGGTGAAATCCTTAGGGTGGGCTCGAATCCTGACCGACTGTGTGCTCATGAAAAGAAATCTGAACACACATGGAGGGGAGGCCATGTGACGAGACACAGGCGGGAAGACAGCCGCCCACAAGCCAAGGCGAGGGACCTGGACACGCAGCCTCAGATCGAACCACCTGAGCCCTTGATTTCGGGCTTCTGGCCTCAGGGCGATGAGATGATTCGTTCTGTTAAGACGCCCTGGCTGTGGTATTGTGTTAGGCAGACTTGACAAATCAATACAGGGCCGAAGGTCACTGCCGTCATAGAATGTAGTGCTGGGAACAACCTCCGGACCCCTCTGGTCCACGGCTCTCGTGCAGAGCTGGCCAATGCCGGGGCAGGGCTGGCACCCACCGCTCCCCTTGGCCCCGTTGCTCCCCCGTTTCGCACGTTACTGAGCCTCTAATCGTCCTAAACTGTCGGATCAGAGGCCTGGCTTTCCAGGTCAACCACGAAAATGACGACTGTGAGCAAGGCTACCAGGAACGGGTCAGGACACCGGCGCTGAAACGAAGGTTCCCCGTACTGTCCAGGCCCGTCCCCGACCAGGCAGCGGAGGTCCCCATCCCCCGTCTTAACACATCCGGGAAACCAGAAGCAGGGATACTGCAGTGGTTCTCACGACGAATCTACAACTATATTTAAGTATTTTGTCATTGAGTCTGGCCGGTGTGGCTCCGTGGTGGAGCGTCGACCCTGCACCAAGAGGTCGCCAGTTCGATTCCCAGTCAGGGCACATGCCCAGGTTGTGGGCCTGATCCCCAGTGGGGGGCGTGCAGGAGGCGGCCAGTCGATGATCTCTCTCGTCCATGTTTCTATCTCTCTCCCTCTCCCTTCCTCTCTCTCTGAAATCAATACAGAAAAGAAAAAATTTTGTCATTGAGACTTTGGTGAGTCTTTGTAGTCTTTCCACGTGGTCAGCCATCCTCCACGGGAACCTACGAGACAGAGGAACACGGGGAGCCTCATACACGGCAGACACTCAAAAGATCATTTATCTAATTAACAGAACGATGGAGTCTCCAAATTGCATGGTGCCCTCGGAGCCTGCTAATGAGGCTGGCCCGTCAGGGTGATTTCCCAGGGACATGCTTAATAACACTATTTAAGAGACAGGGGAAGAGATCTCGATCACTCTAACGCTCCATGAAAGGACAATTCAACACACACGCAGTGGACCGCACACAGCGAGTCAAAGTGCTACACCGTGTAGCAACAGGGGCAGTATTAATGATGCCGCATTTTGTGAAAGAAAAAAAAAAAAGCAATATACAACATAATGTGTCATTTGTTATTACAGTGGTAAAAATGCAGACAATAGAAGACTGAAAGGGAATTCATAGAGATTAAAGCGGTTGGGACATGGGGTGAAGAGTGTAGAGTTTTCCCCCATTCTATAATATTTGATCCCCCTCATAATTTAAAAATATGTTAACGAGGTACAACAGGTGACTACAGAAAACAAGGCTCATTGAATTTAAATAATAAGACCTCCAGTCAGTAGTGAAACTCCTCAGACTCTCCATTAATAAAACAGACTGTGCTTATATCCCAAGCCACTTGGATGTTTCAAACACCCAGCTCTTCAGAAGTTAGGTTCCCTTGAAAATGCCCCCGATTTGTGTTAATCAATCATTTCCCCAGAATCTTCCTCACCTCATTAGCTCTTCCACGGGCCAGCTGCAGAATGAGGTAGCGCCTCCACGTGATGGGAACCACGGCCCCAAGGAAGGTCCCCCCGCCCTCCCACTCCCACATGCTCCTCCGGGGGCCCTGGGGACCGCCTGTCACCACCAGGCGAGCCTGTCACTCTGCAGTCCCCAGTCTCTTGCCTTCCAGTTTCACAGACAGATGGTTGGCGGGGCCTTGGCTCAGACAGAACGTCTGAGCTCCGAGACGCCCACGGATGTGTGTGCTCCTGCTACCTACCAGAGACCCCATGCCTCCGACCATCTCAAAGGCTCCCCAGGTCCCCCCAGTGAACCACAAGTTCAGGGCAAAGTGCTCAAATCTAAGGGTTCCCTCTCCTCCGGCCAGCCCCAGAACCCCCCCCCCCCACAGGGCCCCTGACACCAACCCAGCTGCCATGAGGGGGACACAGGACAGTTGGACTTTAGAACGTTGTCTCCTGAGGTGCCTGCTTCTGGGGCTGAAAGGGCTATGCCCAGTTCTTCCAGAACCTTCTACGGCCATAGTGAGGAAGCACTGTGATTCTGTTGATACCAAAGCACAATGATTTGTTAATAGGAAAATCGACTTTGTATTCATTTTAACAAACATCGATTATCTAATAAGTAATCATCTCTGTGCTAACTAGGTCACCTATTATTTTTTCTCTAACCTCACTGTGCCCCCCCAAAAAAAGATAATTTGAAGGAGTTTTGTTTTTGTGTGTGTGTGTTTTTTAATCCTCACCTGAGGATATTTTTCCATTTATCATCAGATAAGAGTGGGAGGGAGGGAGAGAGAGGGAGAGGGGGAGAGAGGGGGAGAAAGAAAGGGAGACAGAGAAACATCGACTGGTCGCCTCCCGCACAACCCTGACCAGGGCCGGGGACAAACTGCAAGCAAGGTACGTGTCCTTGATCAGAATCGAACCCACGACTCATTGGTCCATGGGCCGACGCTCTAATCGCTGAGCCAAACCAGCCAGGGATGAAAGAGTTCTTTTCAAACAAACTATGTTAAGCAAGAATTAACCTTGACCCTGGCCGAGGAACTCA